AAATAATTTTCCGGACATGCTCCTAATTCCAAATTTACCGTACGGAGCTATTGGAATTATCAAAACTCCATTCTAGGGTCGTTTATACATAAGTCGATATCCGGTCACTATTTTAACTTAAGCTTTAAACCTTGGAACTAAGTGTCCCAATTCATTTCAAAACCTCACCGGACCCGAACCAATTACCCCGGCAAGTCATACAACAACTGTAAAGTATAATTTGAGCAGAAAATGGAGAACCGGGGTTGTAATACTCAAAATGACCGACCGGGTCGTTACACATGATAATATGATAGATAAAATCTCTATGGAGATATTAAAAAGGCCGACATCATATGAAGACATTGCATATCTATCAAGAATGATGATTTCAAGGTGCAATATATTCATTCAAGTTAATATGGTTGATTTATTTATCGAATCTCTACCAACGATCTTTTGAAGATGGTGCACAAGATTGGAATGTTAAGTCTTAAAGATGTGAATTGATACTTTTTTCAGGGAGAGTTAATACACGTTGTACTCTTTTTACCTTACAAGGTTTTATCCCATTGGGTTTTCCTTGCAAGGTGTTTAATGAGGCAACCAAAAAGCGTATTGTTAGATATGTGTACTCTTTTTCTGTCACGACCCAAACTAACCCTGTCGTAATGGCGCCTATCGTGGAAGTAGGCAAGCCGACTCATTTCCAAAACAAATCGATATTTTAATTTCAAAGAAATTTCAAGGCTATTTAACATAAAAACCTTAGTAAATGAGTTCAAATCAAAACAAAAGTGCAGAAAAGAAAATCCCGACATCGGGGTGTCACTAGTCATGAGCATCTACTACAATTTGTCTGATAATATCGAGACTAACATAGTCTAGAAAATAGCTAAATACAACTAAGGGAAGATAAGAGGGAGAAGAGCAGTGTTGCGATCGCCAGCAGCTACCTTGCTATCCCCGAGAAAATCTGCAACTGAAATAGTCAACAGTTGCGACCGTGTCTAGTTACACCTGGATCTGCACACAAGGTGTAGGGAGTAACGTGAGTACGCCAACTCAGTAAGTAACAACAGTAAATAAAGACTGAGCAGTAGTGACGAGCAATGAAGCATATAAAGTTCATATCATGAAATCTCGGTAAAATACAACATGCTTTAAAAATCAATGTTTGAATCAAATCATCTCGTTTAAACCCAGTTCCAGTAAAAATCATTTAAAGATATTTTTCAACAGTTTCAAACAGAGGCTCAATGCAAAGGTGAGAAAAAAATAATAAAATCATAATCAGCCCCTCGGGCAACATCACTCGTATACAGCCCATCGGGCAAACCTCACAATCACTCGTATACATCCCCTCGGGCATACCTCACAATCACTCATATACAGCCTCTCAAGCATACCTCACAATCACTCATGCCTCCTAGTCACTTGGTACTCTCACTCAGTAAGTACCTGCGCTCACTAGGGGTGTGTACAGACTCCGGAGGGGCTCCTTCAGCCCAAGCGCTATATCAAGCCAAATCATGGCATAAATCAATCAGGCCCTCGGCATATATCAAACATGTTGGGCGTGCAATCCGATCCCATAAATATCCTCACAAATCAGGCCCTCGGCCTCACTCAGTAATAAACCTCTCAAGCCACTCGGGCTCTCAGTAAAACAGGGTATTCAGACCAAAACAACATTTATATGCATCAAAACAGAGTAATAAAACTGAGTTATGCAATAAACAGGTATAATCATGACTGAGTATAGATTTTCAATCGAAAACAGTGAGAGGATAGTAAGAAAAAGGCCCCTATGGGTCCAAACAGCACTGGCACAAGGCCCAAACATGGCATTCCGCCCAATTTACAGAAACTCATTTCTAAAACTCATAAGTATCATATAGTTTCAACAAAATATGCAACTTTACAGTTGCTACGAGACGGACCAAGTCACAATCCCCAACAGTGCACGCCCACACGCCCGTCACCTAGCAGGTGCGTCACCTCAAAATAGTAAAATGATACGAAATCCGGGGTTTCATACCCTCATGACTAGATTTACAATCATTACTTACCTCAAACCGATCAAATCCCTACTCCGCGATGCTCTTGCCCCTCGATTCGGCCTCCAAATGCTCTGAATCTATTCACAATAAGTAGAATACCATCAATTTATGCTAACAGAATGAATTCTACATGAAAAACTACCAATTTAGACCAAAAACCCGAAATTGGCTCAAACCCGACCCAAGGCTCACATCTTGAAACCCGACAAAAATTATAAAACTAGAAAGCTCATCCACTCACGAGTCCATACATACAAAATTTATCAAAATCCAACATCATTTGGTCCCTCAAATCTTTAAATTAATCTCTACAAAAATCCCAAGCCCTAACCCCTCATTTTCACCCCTAATTTCCATTAATTACAAGATTAAACAACGGAAAATCACCATATATACGAGTATTAGGGCTCAAGCAACTTACCTCACTGATATCCCCTTGAATCCCTATTCAAAATCACTCCCAAAAGCTTCAAAACCGACTGAAAATGGTGAAGAATGGACCAAAATTCGCGAAGTGTGCAATTTATACTTTCTGCCCAGGCTTTTCGCACCTGCGGACCAATTCTCGCTTCTGCGCCGCCACACTTGCGAAAAATCTATCGCATGTTCAGAACTCGCTTAGGAACCCAGGTTCTGCATCTGCGGACAAACCTCATACCTACGGATCGCGCACCTACGCAGTCACACTCCGCTTCTGCGAAAACTGACCAACTCCGCCCTTCCGCATCTGCGCCCCAGGTTTCGCACCTGCGGGCTCGCAGATGTGACCATTATCTCGCACCTGCGCATCTTGCCTAGCCCAGCACTGCCGCACCTGCGACTTCCCAAGCGCACCTGCGGCTCCTCTTCCGCAGGTGCGGAAACACCAGCAGAATTCACACCAGCAACTCTCAAACACCAAAAACCAATCCGTCGACCATCTGAAACACCCCTGAGACCCTCGAGACCTCAACCAAAAATACTAACAAGTCATATATCAACATACAAACTTAGTCGAACCTTCGAATTACTCAAAACAACATCAAAACACCAAATTACCCTCTGATCCAAGCCTAAGAACTTTTAATCTTCTGAATTTCACAAACAACGCCGAAACCTACCAAACCACGTACGAATGACCTCAAATTTTACACACACGTCAAAAATTACACCATGAACCTACTCCAACTTTCGGAATTCTATTCTGACCCCGATATCAAATTTTTCACTGCCGACCGAAAATTGTCAAATTTTCAATTTTGCCAATTCAAGCCTAGCTCTACCACGGAGCTCCAAATTATATTCTGGACACGCTCCTAAGTTCAAAATCACCTATCGGAGCTAACAAAACTATAAAAATTCAAATCCGAGATCGTTTACATATAGGTCAACATCCGGTTGAATTTTTTAACTTAAGCTTCTACTTTAGAGAGTAAGTGTCTCAATCCACTCTGAAACCACTACGGACCCGAACCAACTAACCTGGTATATCATAATATAGCTGAAAAGTACAAAGGAAGCAGAAATGGGAAAAATTGGGCTATAACTCTCGAAACAACCGGTCGGGTCGTTATATTTTCCTTCACTAGAATTTTTTCCCACTAGGTTTTATTTTAGTTAAGGTTTTAACGAGGCACATTACCTGTTGAATAGATATTCAAGGGGGAGTATTATAAATAGAATTGTATTTAAGGTGAATGTCTATATTATAGAGAGATTTTAGGGTTTGTAACTTGGTGGCTAAGTCACTTTTTCCCTATAAAATAGAGGGGTTCTATTCTATTGTAACTCATCCCAAATCAATAAGAATTCTTTCTCTCTACTTTTCTATGTAGTGCTCTTCTTCTTCTTTTATTGTTTTATAATAACAAATATCAATATATAGGTAATATGTTATTGATATTTTGTTTGTGGTACTCTTCGCCAACTCCCGATCTCTATAATTAATATCATGTTTCATTGACATGGTACATCAACAACTACTGCGACTCAACTTCAAACTGATACAAATTATTATCGAAGTATTCTCTTCCGTTTTAACAGTTGATATATATTATTTTCTACACGCTGGTTTATCAAAATATCGAGAAGTTATGTCACAAAAAAGTGCTATCTAGACCAACAATAACCATGTATTTGCAAGGTATCTTATGTATGGACATAATATGGAAATGAGTTTCGTGGCATGAAAATTCATTTTGTCGGTGATAGACTAGTAGCATTGAAAAAAAAAAACTCTTTACAATCTCTTTCAATTACCTGGAGCGGGAATAAGTCAAATTTGCTCCTCAAAAACCAAATGTTATACTTACAAGTTATGCACAAAATATATATGTTAGCAACACAATTCTTTCTATAGCTACTTGAACCAATCGTTATTCACAAGTGATAATAGCTGTGACAGAGCTAGAATTCTTACTAAAGAGTTCAACATCTATTATGTTATTATGTGTATATAATATAAAAGAATTGACCATGTAGATATATTGTAATTTTCAGGGCATTCCACCCCTACTTCCACTCCTAATAGTAGCAGTGCAAATGATAAGAAAAAAAGCATTCTTCTATGTTATCTTATGGTGGTTACGAATGATATTTGTTTGATTCTTAAAAATTTATAATTTCTATGAAAACTTGAAAATCTTTTAGAGAATCCAATTATGCAATTGCTTTACGATTTTACAAATCTTATTGGAAGTATATCATTTATGTTTCAATTTCAAAGTCACAAATTTCAATACTAATAATGTGATAAATATACTCATTCTTGTGTTTCTGAATATATATGTCATGCATCAACTTATTTTTCTTTAATTATATAAATAAATATTATTTTCTTAAAATTTTATATTAATTAATATAGGTTGCACGTGAAACGCACGTATCCAGAACTAGTGAAAACAAAATATTGAAAGAATAAGGAAAAATGAATTTTATTGATAATCGCAACTTCCTTCCAAGAGAAGAGAACAAGATCTTTCAAATAACACAGAATAAAATATAAGTGATTGACAATTTAATTTCGTGAATTTTCCGATGATCGTACAAGATATAGTAAGGTAGTTTATATAAGGGTACAATATGTAACTGTTTTGTCTTGCTTAATTCTCGTATGTTACTGTTATTTATTACATTGATTACCCCGTTACATGGGTAAATTGTAACGGTTATGGTAATAATAGCCAATCGCGCACAATCCAAAATTATGCTGGTTTCTTTTCTTATTCGTGGCTATTAATGAGCCTACCTCCCTCGTGGTCTTATCCATTCCGCGCCTATCTCTTCTTTTCCAGCTGTCAGGTACGATATTTTTGTAAACGATCCCAAGGGTGTTTTACCCATGCCTTCTCTAATCTTCACTCTCCTTTATCGTTTTGACTCTTATGTAAGCTGCCAGCATATCAATAATCCACGAGTCTACTTTTCCACCAATACAGTGATCAGTAGTCACTTTTAATAGACCTCAGGTATTCTTTGAAGACGGGGACGCCATGATGAGAACTGTTTACGCTGAATATTATGATGATGAGAGCCATCAGCCCTGGAATTCATCAACATTGCAGATAAAACTTGGTCCACCGTCACGCCCTGCATCTGCATGTTCACTCTTCCTAGCATTTCCTCCAGCTCCTTCTTTGTTATTCTGATTTTCATCCCTCTCTTACTATTATTAGTATTAATTCCCAGCAGACTTTCTTTCTCTGCAACAATACCTGTAGGTGACACTGGTTCTAAGTCATCTCTTGCCCATACCATATTGGATGATTCATGTCTCAAACAGTTTCCCATCTTCACTTTCTCACAATTTGTTTTTTGTTGTTGCTCCAAATAAGAAAAAAAATGCAACGTATACAAAATATATGTTTACAATGGAAGACGTGCATCTATATTTATATATAGCTAGCCACCAAATTCGTGTGTGGTGTGGCTTTTTTGGGGGCTTGGCGAAAGTGGTGGGAAGGACACAACGTGGAAAATATGTGTTTTAGCCACCATTAGTTGACTAATCAACTACTCCGGATTTCTTTCTTCTTCTACCTTTTTTCTTTTCTGTAGTTTTGACAATGAAAGTGTTCTGGAAGTTGGAATTGTCAATACAAAATCGGAATCTGCTTTATCCGCTTATTTTGGCTAAATGGTTTATTATTCAGCCTTCTAGAACTGTGGTTAATTTTTCTATTCAATTTTGTCTTCTTAATCAGGAACCTATTCTTGCCTCTCCGCACGTGTCCTCAGTTTGGCCTAATTCATAAGTGGAACATACTTGCTTACTTCTTGCTTATACTAAATAAAATAATTTAATAATAAAAATCACAAATTAAGTGGGAAACAATGTCACTTAATCATGATTAAATGACAAAATTTTCTATGCGATAGACATGTCGTACATTCGTTTGTTTGACATATATAAACATCGTGTATAAGTTAGTTGTTACGCTTAAAGCGACACTCAAAAACTGCCCCTTCCAGAGATATGCCCTACGCTTCCAAATGGCTGCTCGAAGAAGAAACCTTCTAGTAGCCATTTTTCTCTTCTAATCTTTATCTATTTTGACTTACACAACTCTTAACTTTTTGCATTTGCAACATTAAAGATTACCGTTTTCTCACTTTCTTAGGATCAACTTCTTCCTTTTTGGAGTGTGGGCACATTCCAAAGTTGTGGACCATGGTTTCATTGGTTTGAGACCTTCAATTTGACATGTTTGACTAGTAAAATTGTACATCCAGAACATCCTCGCTCACAAGATTTTGGAGGGGATTAATTGGAGTTGGCTTCTGCATCTGTACAGTCTACAAAATAGAATTGAGTTACGTTTGATCTCCAACATATAATTATTTTGTCAATGAGTTACCGTTTAATTCTCAAGGAATGTTTAGAAATAGACTATTTGTTAGTGTTGAGAGCTAGTGAACTCTCTTCCCCTTTCAAGAAACTACTCAAAGAGAAACAAGCGTAGTAGTTAAGTTAGTCATGATAGTAATAATTTTGTTTCTAACTAGCGTAAAGAAAGAAGGCAGGTGATGAAAAGTAACTAGCTAGTAGCTAGACCGACAATAATTTTGTATTCAAATTGCTCAATTTATCTAGCTGATTCATCTTGTAAATAATATTTGCTAGATCATGAGAAAAAAAGGAAATCCAGGGAGTTCTTGGAGGATGTGTGCAATGAGCTATATAGCTTAGGAAATTGAAGAATAAAGAGCTGAAATTGAATACCTGAAGAGTGAAAGGCCCCGAACGTAATAGAGAAAAATGCTGCAAATGGCTGAGGTTTGGCGCAAAGAAGACTTTCAAATGCAGTTGATTTATACAGTGCTAATTCCAGCTGCTATTTACCAAGCCCAACTGCAGTTGATCAACAAGACCCAGTACTGTTATTTACCAAGCCCAACTGCAGTTGATCAACTGGCTCAGTTAACTTTTAGACCATGTTGGACCAAAAGGTCCAAAACCTATACTATGTTATGCATTCTCAATAGGCCAAATCCACATCCGCCTTGATTGGAATAAATCGCCCAGAACAATGCTCCCAGAGCCCATTAATTTCAGCTGTTTATACATTAAGGTATACAACATTTATCGGCACAGTACTTCACTATCTTTAATCAGAGGTCTCAGATTTGAGCCTTGAATATAAAGTCGTTTTTGGTAGGGAATAGTTTACCTCACAAAGTACAATTTTTCTCTGCGAATTCGGGTTAGTCGGGCCCATGTGAGTATCAAACACGAGTGAAAAACAAAAATAACAACATATATCGGCCCAGCCAATCTTAGAACCTACAGTTGCGGGCATTTCGATTTGACAATTTGACATGTCTATTTTACCTCTGTCAGGATTTATATAACTCTCTTTTTATTTTGAAATATCTCCAAATGTTTGAACGCATTTTTACAAATATCTCATTATTTTATACTACTCTCATAAGTGTTAAGTTTAGAATTTTAATGATGATTAATAAAAAAAATACTTGACTAATATGAATCTACTATGTATGCAGATTCACTGATCAAATCTATGGAGGCATAAGAGACTTAAGAAGCAACGGCTCTCAAGCATACAAGGAAGGAAAGAAAATCAATCAAGCACATCAAAGAGCCAACGGCTATGATATTCAAATTTGTCCATCAAAGGAATACAAGGAAGGAAAGGGAATCAATCAAACAAGTAAGAGACTCTCAAGCATATAAGAAAGGAAAGAAAATCAATCATGTACAAAAAATCAGGGGAAGACTCAAGAGCAAATGATTGGGAAGATAAAGGAGCCAATTTGCACATTGAAAATGAATCTGGTTGTACTACACACGCTAAATTTATGAGGCTACCCTTGGGTCCTACTCTTAGAGAATACTGCCTCAAAAGAAAATTCGCACTATCAATGATTTTTCACAATCTCAGAAAAAGGAATCAAGGACTTCATCGAGCACTATTAAAGAAGAGGAGGAAGGACATGGAAGCTTATGCAGCTTTCATCCAAGTTTCCAGTCTTTCTACTTCTTACTAAACAATGTATTCCAAAGCTTACTAGTGTATCAAAAGATAGAGAGAAAAAGAAAGCTATTGAAAAATTATGTAAAGAAATTAATTGTAACTCGTTAGTGGTAAACATAAGAAAATCACTCTCATTGTAACTGCCATTGAAGATCTAAAAGAACCCTTGTGACCCAAGGGAAATGGATGTAGGTACCACACCGGTATACAAACCAGTATAAAAATCTCCGTCTCTCCTTTTTATTTTTCATTACTTGCCTTTACATTTATTTGGTATACTAACTACTTGCTGCGGAATTATTATAGTCAACTGCGAGCCAAAGTTAGGTGACTAAAAGAATGTTTACAATTCATCCCCGCCCCCTCCTGCACTTTCATTATTATCAGAGTAAGTCTCATACTCGGAGGAAAACATTTGCTTAACAGCAAAGTGAGAAAAGATCATGGGATCAAATACTATTGTTGGAGTACTATTCCAAGAACGAACCTCACAAGTTATACCACCTTACTTCAATGGACAATATTTCTCACATTGGAAAGTGCGCATGAAAACATATGCAAAGTCATATGATATCAAAGTCTAGCGTGTAATCAAAAAGGGAGATCTTCCCAAGCCACCATCAAACAAGGATAAAACTATTGAAGGCCAGGTATCTTATGAACCATTAGACCTAGATGATTATACTGATGAACAATCTGTTGTGGTGCAGGTAAATGCCAAAGCCAAGAAGAACCTTCTGTATAATTCAATAAGTACTGAAGAATACGAAAAGATCCAAAGTTGTAAAACTGCGAAGGAAATGTTGGACAAGCTAGAAGTTACCTATGAAGGAACAAACAAAGTCAAAAAAACAAGAATAATTCTACTAGTTCATGACTAAGAACTATTCCAAATGAAAGATGGAGAATCAGTGGAAGAAATGTTCTCACGGTCAGCAAAATTAATGGAGATCTGAAATCCTTTGGTAGACCAATCAAAAGTAGAGAACATGTTAGAAAAATACTAAGGAGCCTACCCACCATTTGGCACTGGAATGTCAGAATCTTGACAATATGTCATATGATAAACTCAGAGGTAATCTAATTGCCTTTGGGAAAACTCATTTAGACAGACAAGTACAGCAAGAAAAAAGGAAGACTGTTGCATTTAAAGCAACAGTGGCCGAGTCGAAAACAAAGAAGAAGAATCATGTGTAGAACAAAATTAGAACATAGCTATGCTCTCTAAAGTTATAACAAGCATGATGAGGAGAAACAGAAATAGTAAAAGAGGTAAACCAAATTTCAGAAAAAGGAAGAATGGGAAATGAGAATGACAAAAATAATGGAAGATGTTATGAATGTAGAAAACACAGACACATTCAAGCAGAATTCCCTAAACTAAAGAAGAAACTCAGCAGAAATTATCAAAAGAAAAAGTCATTTGGAGCATGGAGTGATGAAGAAGAATCTGATCGTGAGAAAATTGCCAACATGTATTTCATGGCCATCAAAGAAGGCAGTGATAAATATTCTGGTGAGCTTGGCCTCATGACAGATGAAGGAACAAGTGAGGTACGTTCGCCTATGTGTCCTAAATGCAATGAACTTCAAGAATGTATTGATATTGCTCTTGCAGATATTGAGAAGGTTCTACATGAACTTCGAAAGATTTAAAGAGAAAAGAAAGACTGGGCACTGAAACTAGACGTATGTAAAATTAAAAGAGACATGCTTTAAGAAGAAGTTCATGAACTTCAACTTCAACTGAATGGAGTGCGAAAATTCACCAGTCACAATTCCATCAAATCAAACCAGTCAACTTTTCGTAAAAACTCATTTAGGACAAGAAATCATTCTGCATGCATTCATTGTGGCAAAGATGGTCACAAATCCAATCATTGTAAGTTTAGAAATGACAAAGAAAAGGCCTCTAAAAGTTTTAATGATCCATCTTATTTTTATTGTGGAAAACTTGGCCATACATCTAACCATTATAGGTTTAAGAACAATAAAAGGTGGGTTTAGCGACCAAGCCTCGAATCAGGCTAACAAACAGAATACTAGCCATCCAGGACCCAAGCAGGTTTGGGTACCTAAAAATAAGTAATTTGTTGTTGCAGGAACACAACAAGAAGAATCGAAAAGGAAAATGGTATCTTGACAGCGCATGTTCCAGACACATGATAGGTGACAAACAACTATTCAAAACTGTCACTAAACTGGATGGTAGATCAGTCGCTTTTGGAGACAAATCAAAAAGAAATATAATTAGAGTTGGAAGAGCTCCACACAGCTCATCATGTGAAGTAGACGAAATCTACTTGGTAGATGAACTTGGTTACAACTTACTCAACATCGGTCAATTATGTTACAATGACTATGATGTTTGTTTTAAAAAGCATGGTTGGATTATTGAAGATGAATCAGGTAAAACCATTCTATCCGGGAATAGAAATAGAAATGTCTATACTCTCAATAATATTGATAGTCTAGGAAATCAACTTTGTCTAGCTTGTATGATTGATGATCCCTGGGGATGGCATAGAAAACTTGGTCATACTAGCATGCATACTATTCAAAAACTTTCCAAACCAGATCTTTTCATTGGTCTTCCAAAACTAAATTTTTCAAAAGATCAAATTTGTGATGCATGTCAATTAGAAAAATAAACCCGGTCTTCTTTCAAAATCAAAAATATAGTCTCTACTACAAAACCTCTTCAAGTTTTGCATATGGACCTCTTTGGTCCAACCAGAACTGCTAGCATTGGTGGTAGAAAATATACTTTTGTTATAGTAGATAATGTTTCTCGATTTACCTGGATTATTTCTCTGAGTCATAAAGATGAAGCATTAAGAAATTTTAAAATCTTCTGCAAGAAGGTACAACGAAAAAAAGGATATTATATCTCTATCATAAGGAGTGATCACTGAGGAGAATTCGAAAGCAGAACATTTGAAAATTTCTGCAATGATTAAGAAATCTCTCACAACTTCTCATCCCCCAGATCGGCTCAACAAAATGGAGTGGTAGAATACAAAAATAGAACCTTGCAAGATATGGCAAGAACTATAATTATGTAAAACTCTCTTCTACACCACTTCTGGGCAGAAGCAGTAAGCAATGCATGTGAGAACATTAACAGAGTCTGATACGACCTATTATAAAAACGACTCCATAAGAGCTATGGAAAGGTAAAATACCCAATATCAGTTACTTTCATCCATTTGGTTGCAAATGCTTTATTCACAATTATGAAAAAGACAATCTTGGTAAGTTTGATCTAAAGAGCAATAAAGGTATTTTTCTTGGATATTTTCCCTTAGGTAGAGCATATAGAGTTTTTAATAAACAAACTTTATCAATTGAAGAATCTATACATGTTGTATTTGTTGACGCTAACCCTCGCTTGAGGAATAAAAAACTTCTTGATGACCGAAAAATTGTCATAGTTACAAAAGTTGTTCATACAGGTGAGGACATTCATGATGAGGTGACTAATCAGCACCATCAGTCGATTGACAGTCACATGGAAAATCGAGAATCACTCACATATGAACAATCAGTTCATATCGAAAAGGAGTCAGCCTCTGTTGTCCCAAATGAATGGAAAAGTGAACCTAGATATCGACATAAATTCATCATTGATAATCCTCAAGAAGGCATGAAAATAAGAAGATCTCAAAAGTAGACGTCAAATATTACCCTGATCTCTCAATTTGAACCATAAAAGGTAGATGAGGTTCTTGGAGACAATAGCTGGATAAATGCAATGCAAGAGGAACTTGATCATTCGAGAAGAAAAAAGTATGGGAGCTTATCCCTAAACCCCCTAATGCATCTATTGTTAGAACAAAGTGGGTTTACATGAACAAGCTAAACGAGTCTGGACAAGTGGTATGAAATAAAGCTAGGCTGGTTGCCCAAGGATACTCGCAACAAGAAGGAATTGACTATGAGGAAACCTTCGCTCTTGTGGTAGGTTAGAATCAACTTGTATACTATTAGCATATGCTGCTCTCAAGTGCTTTAGACTATTTCAGATGGACGTGAAAAGTGCGTTCTTAAATGGATTCATTGCTGAGGAAATGTTCGTTAAGCAACCCCCAGGATTTGTAAGTGAATCATTTCCAAATCATGTATACAAGCTGTCCAAAGCTCTATATGGGCTGAAGCAAGCCCGTAGAGCATGGTATGAAATGCTAAGTTCATTTATAGTCAAACATGTATTTGATCGAGGTAATATTGACACTACTCTCTTTATTAAGCGCTCAGATGAAGGTAATTTAATTGTACAAATTTATGTTGATGATATTATCTTTGGAAGTACTAACCCAGAATTATGCAAGGATTTTTCAAAATCATGAATGGGAAATTTGAAATGAGCATGATGGGAGAATTAACATTCTTCCATGGGCTACAAATAAAGTAATCACAGAAAGGGATCTTTATTAGCCAGACTAAGTGCACAAAAGAGCTCATTAAGAAATATGGCATGTCTAATGCCAAAGTCTTAGGGACTCCCATGAGTCCATCAACCACCCTTGATAAAGATAGAAATGGTAAGAGTGTTGATGAAATAATGTATCGAGGTATGATCGGTTCTCTACTTTATATTACTGCTAGTCGACCTGATATCATGTTTAGTGTCTGCAACTGTGCAAGGTATCAGTCAGCTCCCAAATAATCTCATTTAATTGATGTTAAATGAATCATCAGATATCTGATAGGGACAGTCGACTATGGACTATAGTATGAAAGCTTAAATGTCTTTGATCTCAAAGATTTTTCATATGCAGACTTTGCAAGTAATAAAATTGACAGAAAATGCACAAGTGGAACGTGTTAATTACTTGGAAAATTTCTAATCTCTTAGCACAGCAAGAAACAAAGTTGTATTGCCTTATCTACCACTAAAGCAGAATACCTGGCTGTAGGGAACTGCTGCACTCAAGTTCTATGGATTATGCATCAACTTTTAGACTATGATTTATATCTCAATTGTGTTTCAATTATGTGTGATAACACTAGTGCTATTTGTCTTTCAAAATATTTTGTGCGTCATTCTAGAGCTAAACACATTAAAATCAAGCATCATTTTATCCGTGATCATGTTGAAAAAATTGATATTGTGTTAGAATTTGATAACACTGAAAATCAGTTGACAGATATTTTTACAAAACCTCTACTTGAAGAAAGATTTTGTTTTCTTCATGATAAAATAGGCATTTTTTTTAAATCCCGTTTAATTTCTCTAAGTCTCATTTTTTTTTAAAGAATGCTCAATAATGTTTTCAAAATTTCCGCTCCCTATTTGATTTAATTACTCTGTGCATACATTAATTGTGTGATTGACGACGAGTCTTTATAAGGCAACTTTTCAGTTGCCTTTCACACGTTTCTCCAAAACCGAGGCAACCATTCATCATCACCTTACCTCTCTTTTTAACCCCCTTCTCGTTCATATCACCTACTCACAAAGAAAGAAAATTATGTTTTTTCTCTCAGGGCCAAAATCAAACCCTCTACGTCTTCCTCTATGCCTCGAAGAAGTCATTATGTTAAGAAGAACCTACAAACTGATGATCTCGTAGATGTTGAATCGTCAGAGAGTTTAGACCATCAACAGTTCGAAGATGAGTCCAGTGATTCACAGGAGGAAATCCTCATTACTCAAAAGAGGGTTGGAAAATGTCCAATAACGTCAAACCCCAAACAGTCGTCTCAAAAGAAGGGAAAAATTGAAAGTGTAGAATTTGGGCCTGAGGACAAGATGAATTTCTATGGTCCCAAGAAGAAAGCCAAATTTGTTGCCTACAAAGGGAAGTCGATTGCCTATGGACGCACTATAAGTTGAAATCTATGTAAAAACTCTCATTGTGATGTTATCTCTGTGTTTAAAACTCAAAAACTTCTCTCTCTATATGCGATTGTTGGTGAAACTGTTAATGAAGAGCTTGTGCATATGTTTTATGCTAATCTATTTGTAAGTGACAAAGATGAATTGGAATCCATGGTCTTGGGAACTCGCATCATTCTTAACTCTTATCAGTTTGAAAAAAACTTTGCAACTAAGTTTGTTGGATATAGTTTCTTTGTGCAATATTCTTGGCCTGATAATTTTGAAGTGTCTTTTGAAGAAGGAAAAAGTGTTCTGTCTGAAAA